GATAACACCAAAGGGGCTTCCTAGCCTAGTAGGTTGGTCACCCGTACTATGTGGTATTGGCATTGGTTCATTACAATTATTTTTCATGATGTTATTTAAAAAATCATTAGGAATATCAACTGGATTTAACGTATTAGTTGCACAATTATGTCGTATACGATTCTTGAAAAACTTAATACCATCATTAGAACCATTTGCTTATGGAGTACAAAATAGTTTAGCATTATTATTCGCATTAGGAGCTATTGGAGGAAGTTTTGTTTCAACAGTTTCAGCAAATCAATTTCCTTTAAATGAACAATATGGGGCAGGTGTTTGGAGTAGTTTCTGTGGAGGATTTTTATTATCACTTGGTGCACGTTGTGCTGGTGGTTGTACAAGTGGACAAGGAATTTCTGGTAAACTTAACTTTTTCTAATTTTTTTATCGTTTTCATTTTATGTGTATTATTTAAAGGTGTCACACATCTTTTGATTGGTTCTCTCATTGCAACCGCAGGTATGTTTGGTGGTGGAATGCTCTTTGCTGCAGGCTATGGATTTATAACAAAAGACTGGCGATTTCGTGCTTTATAAAACAACGGACATTCAATTGAAAACTCTATTTTATTATTTTCTAGACTTGAAATAACAATAAATACATATTTGAATAAATGTGTGTAAAGATAATTTCATGTGTACACTGTCTAAACACTACTGAGTCAAGATTATTTGAGCAATGGAAAGTTTTCACAAACTAGAAGTAAACAAGAACGTGTGTTTATATTTTATACATTTTGAAATGTATTTAATCGATAAAGTTCATTTGTGTTGATTTTTAAGTAGATAAATGGTGGTCGTAATGTGGGTAATAGAAGAGAACTATCCTTATGGATGATGAGAATGCACATGCTTGTAAATCTGAATAGTTTAATTTATTACTTTCATCATTCTGTTTTAAAAAAATGCATCAATAATAATATTGCATCATACTAAGTCAAGATCTACGACGATATGATAACTTTTTATTGAAAAATTTTTATTATATTATAAAAACGAAGTAAGTCTATCGAAAGCTAGAGGGTGTTAATCACTTGAAAACACGCCGATCCATATGCTATTTATACAAATCAATCTGCTATTCCCAACTCTTGCTTTTCAGCAATTTATCTGGTCGAAAATTAAATAGCACTAAAATAATATAAAAATTTACTTGAGAATTAAAATAATGAATCAAACAAAAGACAGTGTTAATTGTTTTGGCAATGCGTTTCGCGTTTATCAAAAGTTCTGGCCACGACATTTTTAGTTTTATAAAACGCTTAGTTTTGAAAGTTTTATTGTGCGAATACACAGTAAAATGTCTGCTCTACAATAATGCATATAACGACTGTATCTTGGATTTAATTCTAACATTCTTTTAAATAAAGTCTATAATATAGCAACTATGCGAATATTCAACTAATACTTGTACAATGTTCGGGTATATTCTGGAACATTCCATATTTTTCATTTGTTTCTCTCCTACAACATTTTACGACGTCTTGTTCGAAAAGATTACATTTCGATAGTATATATAAGTGAAAAATTCTTCTTCGTTAATTCATATCAACATTAAAACAAGCAGTTAAGCATAGCTGATGAACTCAATGCATGCTATATCAGAATTTGAGCGATTTTCGGAATAGATGCAAAAACAATCTAGGAAGAACTTACCGAAGCATTTGGATCTGATGCTCCATCAAATCGAGCAGTCAGAGGATGGACACAGCGTTTTTGTGAATGGAGAGAAGATGCCAACGATGATTCTCAATCTGTTCGTCTGGTTTCAGTACTTACAAATGAAAGCATTGAACGCAGGGGAATAAACACAGAATGCTGGAGTTCTATGGAATTTTAAGGAATCCCACGAAAGCATGAAATCTGATGGACATCATCGGACGCCACTAGAAGCTCTTAAAAGTCAATATAAAGGTCTTTAAAAATAGTATCATCGCACGAAAACCTGTTCAGATACATTCACAAGCAATTAGAAAGTCTGAGAATATTTATCGTAATTTTCTAATTCAGAACCTCTTTTATTCGAGACTTGAAGTTGCAAATTGATCTCTTTTGATATATATTTCAGTTTAAGATTGGTACAGGATGAAAGAAAATAGAATATAATTCATGAATTTCAAAACAAAATGAAGTGTTGAATGTAAATGTTGAAAAAACTTGAGAAAGAGAAAGAAGATTTTGATGGTAAGATCAGTCCTACTTAGGAAAAATGTCACATATTTGCAAACAGTAAAGAAAAACCTTGCACGTTAATTCTTACATTAAACGAACATCATTTGTATCTAAGACGATTTCTATATAAGTCGAGCAAAATCAGTTCAATCGAGGTCTTCAGACGTCGCTCACTTTAATATAGGTTATAGAAGGACATGTTGTGAGAATTTTGACGTCAGAAAATATTGCTCCCTATATGCTTTATACGCATCTTACTCAAAGTTCTAAAAAACCCTTTTTAAGAACGGGGTCTTAATCTTAGAATATCTCACGAACTGCTCGAGAGATCGAACGGAAATTTTTTGCAGACATTTATTTCAGTCACTCCATTTTGCTATAAATGTTTTGTTAGAAAATATTAAGCTGTTCCGATTTTATGAAACCCAATATTTGGGAAAAGGCCAACTTTTGATAGTGTCGATGTTTCGAAACTTTTTTCTAGAAGGATGTAGTAGTCTGAAATTTTCTGCGTAGATAGAAGCATTGAGAGATGTACAATTTCTGAAAATTCTAGCCACGTACAGTAAAACCTCTATTACTGAACACCTCTCCTTAATGATTAACCTGTCATATTGAACGCTCTCCGGTCCCCCCGAGCGGTTTTGCTGATTTTGACCCCCTCCTTAATGAAATCCTCGCGATTCTGAATGTGAACACTTTTTTATGGTCCCAACTGTATAATTTTCCTCTGTAATGTGAACGTTATAGAGAGTGCCGTTAAACTTTGAATGCTCTAATGATGCCCTGATCCATAGGTTGTATAATGGCAGTTGTATTTGGTGGAGAGAATTTTAATTCAATATTTTCCAATTGAATATCTT